TACTGCATTTTTAAGGGGCTTGTTTAGCTCTTTTTGTGATAACTGGCAACCCTTCACCTGGAGCTTTATTCAAGAGAGGAAAGAGATCAACAGTGACTCGGAGAACAACAGTATGCAAACTGAACATCAACTACTGTTAGTACTGCTGACTAAGTAGTTTAAATTATACTCACCTTATAACCGCGTCATTATTTGACTTATGTACATTCGCTTTAGCAAGCAGGTTGTTCATTACCACGCCAACCGCTTGCGCGTTCACACTGAATGTGATTCTCATGTGTAAAAATTAACTGTACATAAGAGGCGGAGGTAGTCAACTAAGCTTAATTCATAACGCTTCCTCCGTTGTGAGTCTGTGCGCTCCTCTAAACTGTCCGGCTGCTGCACTGCTCTCGCGGTTGATTGCTGCACCTTTATCCCGACAATTTTACATTTTAACAACCCTTTAGAAAATTGAATGTCAATTTCGCCATGTGTCTTTGACAAATGGCAGCATCTCAGTCTCACGCTCGCTGCACGTGAGTTAACCACGCCCACTTATTTGCGTTATACACAGAATAAAAAAATCTGTTACGGTTGACAATTTATACTGTGGTAACGATATATACCGTCATACCGCCCAGCCCTATTTGGTTACTTAGTTGGGAAAGTTGCTTCTGGCATTTGGTGTATGTGACAAAAAAATGAGAGGTGGAAGTGTGAGAAAGAGCAACCAAGAGCGAGTTAGACGGAAACAAAAAGAGTGTGTGTGTGTGTGTGTGTGTACGGAGTGCATGCCAGCCATTTATCAGCCATTTATCTTGAGGTCTGACTGGCGTCCGGTGTGGAGTGACAGCATTGTAGTGAGAATTCAGGCAATGAAAGAAAACTACAAGGATACTGGTGTTTTATGCTGTACAGTACACACGGAGCGGATGTTAAATGTTAACAGTAGTGCCTCTCTCAGCTGTATCCTGTTTAAAACTGTATCACTAACAATGCAACTCTGGCTGGGATTATATCAGGTCAGGTTGAAGGTTACCTCAAAACTCTAGTGAGCTAGTGCTATTGAAAGGTTTTACATTGTTGTTTTTCTGAATTTCTGTTTTGCCGTTCATTATTATAAATAAATACGTAAATACATAAATAAATCAAGCAATCGGGCAATAAAAACATTAATAAAACTTATAAATAAATAAACATAATATTTTATAACATTATTTTAATATTATCGCCTGCAGTTCATTTTCATTAAATTAAATAAAACAATAAAAGAAATTGAAATGTCTTTTGAACTGAAAATTTTTTAGATTTTATTTCAGTTAACGTTTATTTTATTTCAAGTAAAGACATTTTTTTTAACGGTTTTAATTTTAGTCTCAGATTTAGTTTACTATAATAATCCTGTTTATGTTATTATTATTATAGCAATAGTTTATTTTTTTATTTATTTGTTTATTTAGCTTTGCAGTTCATTAATATAAAATTTATAAATGGATGAATGAATGGACATCTTTAGCAAATATGTCACAACCGTGATGTTTTTTGATGTCATACACCGATCGATCAGTCTGCGCAGTGCTGCCTCAAGTTGAACACACCTATTGGGTTTGTGATGTTGTTGTGCGCACTAGGGAACGTAAATGCGCCATACGTCATCGCGTCGCTATATCATTGATATCGCGATATGGCATCTTTTTTATCATGAGTGTCTTGCACCATTGTATTCCTAAGGTTAATTTAACAATAATTCCAACAGTGTGTTTTGTACTTCAACAAAATTATTCAGGTTACTTTAAGACTTATTAGTCGATGGATCGTTCAGACAACCTTCTGACTAGTTGCTTTTGAAAACACAGCTTTGCACATGCCTAGCTGCTGCTGAGTGGTGCACTGTGGGTAATTACCTGTCTGTAGGACGGGGTTCTGCTCTTGGGCTTGTTGCTGTTGTTACTCTTGAGCTGGCAACAGAAGCGTAAAGCTGCCAGGTCCTTCATTATGGAGGTGAGCGCCTCTTCATCATCTGGAAGGAACAAAGACAAGTTTATGCTAGGGTTTTCTGGGTGTTTTTTGCACATTGCTATGCAGTTGCTAAGGTGTCTTTGACGTATTTTTAGCTGGTTCAACAGTGTTCTAGTTGTTTGTTCACTGGTCCATGTCAACACAGTCCACCCTCAAGCTAAATTATATTGTGGTCTCTAGACTCGGGTTCCTCCTTAAAGGGATAGTTCACCCAAAAATGAAAATTCTGTCATTAGTTACTCACCCTCACATCGATCCAAACCTTTAAGACCTTCGTTCATCTTCAGAACAAAAGTTAAGATATTTTTGATGAAATCTGAGAGCTTTCTGACCCTGCATAGAGAGCAACGCAACTGACACAATCAAGGCCCAGAAAGGTAGTAAGGACATTGCTAAAATAGTCCATGTTACATTAGTGGTTCAACCTTAATTTTATGAAGTTACGAAAACACTTTTTTGTGTGCAATGAAAACAAAAATAACGACTTTATTAAACAATTTCTTCTTTTCCGTATCAGTCTTTGACGCGTGTTCATGAGAGTACCATGACGCATGCGTTTGTATTTTGATTTCATCAAAAATATCTTAATTTGTGTTCCAAAGATGAACGAAGTTCTTACAGGTTTGGAATGACATGAGGGTGAGTAAATAATGACAGAATTTTCATTTTTGGGTGAACTATCCCTTTAAATGTACTGCAAGTCTAAGATTTTTTTTAACAAACGTATGAACAAAAATATTGATGCTTGCCTTAAAAAACAGCACTAAAATATGATTTAAATAGACTGTTGCTTGATAAGATTCACTTACAATTCAGAAAATCTACTTAACACCATGTTCACGAGCTCTAGGAAAGTTGAAATCATCTATTTTAGAGCCAAGTGCAAATAAGGTGTCTTTCACACACTCATCTCGAGCAGTTCTTGAGTTTTGAACGACTATAATAGAAAGGTCCTGTTTGGATCATATTCTCATTTATATCTGTCATTTCATTTGAATACCAAGATGTCATTCAAAACAGCAGAACGGCACTCGATGTTCACGCAGTGTGAAGCACACAAACCGACCCACTGTTTCCTTTTGAGATTCTATCAGGGGTTTTCCATCACTGCAGACACAGACAGACATATTTCCATAATAGTGCAGAAGTGCTCCTCTTTCTGTAGTGCGGCCAATGATGTAAACCAAAAGGCCACAGAGAGAGAGCGAGCACACAGGGACGGACACGTGGCCAGACACAAGAGATCACTTTATATTAGCACTAAAGGTTTGGTCCCATTGGTGGGCTTGTTCTGCTCTGATGCATTAAACTCTCGGCATGACAAGCGCAGCGTTAGTGTGAAAGAGAATTTTAATAATGCAACAAACACTAAACAAGATTACAGCAAGTCTGAGCTTCAAAGAGTCACTCAACTGAAAAATCAACCAAGAAATTTGGAAAACAAAGAGGTTTTGTTTTAACATGCCCTTTGCAAAGCGAAAGCTAACGGGCTTTCTTTTTTACCCCAACAATTAACGGGAAACTTTTATTTACAGTACGTCGGATAAAAGCCTCAATGCTTTATCAGAAGGACACGGGACGGTTTCTGCAAAGAACGTATTGAAGCAGCTCATGTGTGTCTTGAATTCATAATGGGATCACATGAAGAACAACTGCGGCAAGAAAAACACAAGAATATGAACACCAGAGGCAGCCTGTGAAACATTAAAATAGTCCACAAACTCAGCCATCATCGAAAGGGAAATGCTGGGGAGCAATCATGCAAATGAGCGTGTCAGACATTAGCATATCAAGGGGCCCTAATGGGGCCAATTAAGCGTGTCTTGTAATTACAGTCTGAGTGGAAGGTCAATCACCTCTGCTATCATGCGGAGGAGATAGTGGGAAAGAGAAAAGAGCTATTGTTAATCTCAGGTGCCTATGTGCCAAATTATTTGCTCTATTTATCCACAGATCTTAGAAATGAAGCCTTTTAAATTTGGTAAGTCTGTTTGCATTTATCCTACAATATGATGACGAGTAAATGATGAATGTGCTATTTCTTTGAATTAGTCTTTACCTACACAGGCCCATTCATACCATGACCTATAACTATATTTGTGTCCGCACCAATGCATTATAGGTCTGTCCCTTTGAATGCTCAAACTCTTTAAAGCAAGATGGATTCTGATTGGCTGGAAAAAAGCATCCTGAACGTGATTCCAACAACATTGTTCCCCTGTATTATTTACATTATTGTGGACTCTGCTATTTTTTTCTCTTTTGTATTTAAAATGATTCTTAAAACTATATACAGGTGCATCTCAATAAATTAGAATGTCGTGGAAAAGTTCATTTATTTCAGTAATTCAACTCAAATTGTGAAACTCGTGTATTAAATAAATTCAATGCATGTGAGCCAAAATCATCACAATTAAAAGAACCAAAGACTTAAACTACTTCAGTCTGTGTGCATTGAATTTATTTAATACACGAGTTTCACAATTTGAGTTGAATTACTGAAATAAATGAACTTTTCCATGACATTCTAATTTATTGAGATGCACCTGTATTTGCAGTTATCGTTCTTGGCATAAACAGGCCTTAACTCAACAGACATCATGTCATTCTTAATCATAGTAATTGATCTTTATTAAAAAGGTAAGGAAGAGTGCCAGGACTGGTGGTACATTTACAAAACATGCAGATCTGCTTTTACAACCACTATGATGAACAAATCATTAAAAATTAGCTAGTCTCAACTTAAAGGGATCGTTCACCTTCAGTTGATGGTCCCCATTGACTTGCATATTGTTTTTTTTTACATACTATGGAAGTCAATGGGGACCAGCAACTGAAGGTGAACTATCACTTTAAAGGTTGTATTTGCAGCCCATTTTACTACCATAATGTGACATTTAAACAGGATATGTGATGAGAAAAAAATAGACTTCAAATATTTTTAAATGTGGGTGTTTTATATCATACTGCAGTCAGACTGAATGTGAGTTTGTTTTGCATCCAAAAAAGGAAATTCTGTCATCATATACTCACCCTCAAGTTGTTCCAAACCTGTATGAGCTTCTTTCTTCTACTGAACACAAAAGATTTTGAAAAATGCGAATAACTGAACAGTTTTTAGTCCCCACTGACTTCCATACTATTTTTTCCATTTCTTCAAAATATCTTGTTTTATATTCAAGCAGAAGAAAGAAGCTCATACAGGTTTGGAACAACACGAGGGTGAGTAAATTATGACAAGTTTAATTTTTGGTTGAACTATCCATTTATACCAATAACTAACTATACAGCAGCTATTTGACTATTAACATCATCCAATAGCCCGCATAGACTACGTGATGTCAGCAGAAAAATAATGTTGTTTCAGAGAAGGATTAATTATTTTTATAAAGACTTTGTAAAATGATTAATTTTAAGAAATTAAGCATTAAGAAAGCTAATAAGGTGCATTTTGCTTTCATGTCAATGAACACAAAAGAAGATAATTTGCAGAATGTTCAGACTGCTTTTGATAATGAGGAAATCAAGCTGCAAAAACGACAAAAAAACACCTAAAAATATCATTAAAATAATTATTAAATAATTATTAATAATTATTAAATAATATGAACGTTTTGTGTGACAGAGAAAAACAGCACATGAGTTCTTTGGACCACTTCTATGATATTTTAATGGTCTTTTTAAATCATTTTTGGAGCCATTTATTTTTAGTGCAGAAAGAACAGCACTCTGAACTTTCTGAACATTTTTATTTCTGGCCAAACTATTCCATTCCAAACAAGCTAACAACATTATTACTGGCTGGTGCTGGACCCAGATTTCAAGCAGTAAGGGTGGGTCATGTGCAGCAAATGACAGTGGTGTATTTGAGGGGTTTTATTGCATCCCAGGGGAGGCAGAGAGGGCATTGTGGGGCAGAGGAGTGCTGGGCGAGGCTGAGGCAGATGGAGTCTGGGGGCGATCTTTGATTCTGACACCAGCGCAAGTCTCACTCCGCAGCTGTTCTTCCACAGTGGCATCCACCATTAGACAGGGTTCAGAAAGGGTTCACAACACACACACTTTCTTTCTCCATCTGACCCCATTTCTATTTTAATATTGCCACACTAAAGTGCTTCAGCTTCTGCAAAACAACCTCAGAAAAATACTTTTCAGAAGCTATTGATCTTGAAACACTGATGGGGGAATTCACTAAACAGTTATGCCACTTTTGCATGCAACATTACAAAGTTTTACCTATAAACCAATTTAAGGTAACACTTTACAATAAAGTTCTATTTGTTATCATTAGTTAACTACATTAGTTAACATAAATGCGGTTTTGAATGTTATTCTATATCCTGACCAAAGGTTATAAAAATATAAAAGATAAAAGATAAAATAAAATGTAATACACAAATATAAATAAAATATAGAAATATAAATGAACGCATTAAGTGAATTTATAACAAATGCTTCAAAGAATTTAGATGAAAAAGTGATGAGTTGCATGATTTTTTTTTTTATTTGCCTAATTACTAAAGGAACACAACTCATGGCACATTCAGGAGGCGTATTTCATTCTTAGTGAATTTGCCCCATAATAATCCCACAATTTAACCCAAAGAGCCACTGTAGCACCTCTACCGACCCGTTAGTCATGAGAAAGTGCTGCCTTCAACCTTTCTGCCCACTGAGCACCTACAGAAGTGTCTTCAGTCGATATCTGCAAGTGGTCAGAAACACCAAATCATGCGTAAATGTTAAACCCTCAGTGACGCAATACACAACGGCATGCTCACTTCATTCAGTACACGGAAGAGTGATAAGCTAGCCGCTCTGGCTTTGCTCAACAACACCTGCAGGTACAAAAGAAAAAAAAACTATTAACTCTTCTAAGAGTGTGGTCACTCTTTTGCATGCAGGCTATTTTTAGAGTATGATGCAAGTAACTTAAAACAGAAAGCATGAGCATAGTGGTGTTGAGGTAAGATAATAATATGTGCCATTATGTTATGGTTTATTAATCACTGAGCTAGGATTTTATCTTATAATTTAATGGAAGAAATATAACAAGAATGCAGAACACCTCCATCTGCTGCAAGCTTCAGATCTAGTGAGTCTGCCATCTGCCCTGCAGAAGACATGAGAAACTACACAAATGCAGTATTGAGTGTGTCAGTTTCATGTTGTACATGCAAAAGGATTGCATAGAATAGAATAGAATGCATGTAATGTAAATTAAAATCAAATGAAATTGTGGTGATTCTTAACCCTAGATAACAAAATCCTGGATTACATGTCACACTGATCATGCATTATGCTGGGTTAATTATTAATCCTGGGTACTCGGGGGTTCAAGATTTCATACTGTACTTTTGTAAACCCTGAGTTAACATTTTCATTAGCATATTTATGAGGTTAATAACACTGACAAATTCAGATCATAACCTAATAACTGCTTACCAATGTGTGGAAATCCCACAAACAGAATCGTAATCAAATCGAACAGAAAACACAAGACTAGACTATAATAGAATTTTATACTTGCTATACTTTTTATAGCTTTTTATAACTGAAATTGTTAACCCAAAGTCATTCTTTACCCTGAAAAACATAATCCTTGATTATCATGTTTCATATTTCACAATGTTCATATATTTGCATTAGTCAGGTTTTGAGATTTTATACTGTACTTTTGAGGTTAATAACACTGACTGGACAAATACAGCTCATAATAACTGCTTTTCCATTTGTGGAAACGCCGCAAATAGAATCTTAATTAAATTAATCTAATAGAATAGAAAATAATAAAATATAATCTGATTAGAACATAACCAAAATAAAAAGAATCTTAATTAAATTGCATAGAATTTAATCAAATAAAACAGAACAGAGTAGAATGAATAGAATCTTATCAAATCAAATAGTCTTGAATAGAATGTAACTGTGAATTTATCAAACAGAATCTTTACTGAACTGAATGGAATCTTGAAATAGAATTGTCGTGAATAGAATGTAACTGACTAGAATGTAACTGACTAGAATATAAGTTAATTGAACCGAATCTTTACTAAACTGAATAGAATATTAATTAAATTTCATAGAATCTAATCAAGTAAAACAGAACAGTCTTTACTAAACTGAATAGGATCATGAATAGAATGTACTAGAACAGACTTTAACTGAATCAAACAGAATCTTGATTAAACTGAATAGAATCTAGTCAAATAAAATGTAATAGAATATATCAGAAGCACAAAAACTCTGCTCGCGATTATGTGTTTGCGGTTTGAGCTTTTGTATCATCTGTAAACAGTGTAAAGTGGTGCTCCGGCGGGAATGACGCAATTGAAAGAGGATCGTCGTCCCTCTATTACTTCATACTGATATGAAGATAAGATGATTCACTGTGATAACACCATGGCAGTCTGGCAGAAATCCTTGAGACTGGTTGAGTGACAATGTTTCCATTATATTTCTCAGAGAACACTGACTTGGCATGATGACAGACGATCATGTCAAGAAGATGAAAAGGAACAAAAGTACGAACAAAGTTTAAAGGAAGTGAGCTAGAGAAAAGTGTCACATTTTCTCACACACAAAGAGGCCAGCTGTGAGAGAAAAACACATCTATCTAAACAAAACAACCATACAACACAACCCAGAAGTGCAAATCAATGACATCACTCAATCCAAAGCCAGCCTCCCACAAACACTGATGTATACACATATTATACTTTGTACACAGACACTAAAATTAGCCAAGGTCTCTCTACCAAAACTTCCCATGAACACCACCATGAAGAACTACACATCCAACTGTAAATATAAACTCACAATCTTTTGTTTGTATTAATACTGACAGGCTTTAATGTAATGTTACTTCATCTGTCTTTGACATCATGAATCAAGAGCTCCACATGTGGAAAAGGTTTCTCCGGGTTGTTGCGTGATTGTGTGTTTGTACTGATGTTCTGCTGCCAGGGCGAGCTGGAAGAAGCCTCTGATGTGATCAGAGCTGAAGTCAATGAAGACACAGAGGGGATTTCCCCAGCGCTGCACCACACATCACCACTAAAGCATTCAACAAGATTAGAGCAACACACGCTCCACCGTAAGACTCACCTTGTACAGTTGTGCCCTATTGAAACAGAGTTAATGTTCAACGAGAGAATAATGCAGATGATGTAACAGTTTCAGAGGTGTGTTTTGTGTTTGCTTTTTGCTGTGGTAACTGTGCCATTATCTCATTATCGTGGCCTTTGAAGACAAGGTCACTGCACACTTCACATTGACACTGACACCTCTTTGGAATCCTCAGTTTTCAGTAGTACATATTAATGCATATAAAACGAGTCTAAAAAATGACAAACCTTGTGAGTTCTTGTGCTGTCCGGGTCCATTTTGGAGACCGCCATCTGTCAAAACAGCCACAACGTCAAGAGTATTCAAATGACAGGAGTACATTTCAATTAATCACACAGTGACAATCTGGCAAACAGTTTGTATGAAATTTTTATCACAAAGATGTGTTTATAGGTTGTTCAAGTTGTTATAAAATTTGATCTGACCATTATTTTTCAATGACAAGCATGCAATCAGTTGTTGTGAACTGTGCCATTGAAAACAAACCCACACTCACTGATAAACTTCATCTGAATGTAATCCTCAATAATAATGACACCATATTAGCCAGTGTTATCATACAACAACAATAACAATGCAACATTTCCTCAGGATTTAGTTGAGCTTCTCTTTGTTCTCAAAATGTGGCGTACATTAAAAGCGCTCTGGCATGTTGCAAAGTCAATTATGTGGAACTAAGCGACACAATCACCTTTCATGATGTAAGTTTCAGCACTGCGAGGTCAGTATTAACCTGTCAGTTTCTACCATGGGTAACTTTGACTGTGCGGTGCTGTTTAATGTACCCATTACATATCAGACAAACTGTTCAAATCTACATTTTTAAAGGTGTAAATCATTTTACTTAGCTTTCTTTACCATAATGTTACAATGAAATGAACACACAGGGGAATTTTTCAATAATTTCACTACAATGGTTAGAGCAGATGTTGAATTTTTACCATGTCCCCCGGTGCAATGCACAAATTTTTAAAAACAGGCAATTTATGTAGAAATATTCTTTTGATGTTTATGTATTGATGTTTAACGTCTGTGAGAACTGCTGAGGCGTTTTAACACAACAGAGCTTTAAAAACAAATGATCCCAAGACGGGCTAAGTTAGGAATATGTTTAAACATGTTTCTGTAGCTGTGTCTCTCTTTTTTTCGCTGTGTTCTGAGGAACTGTTTACAGGAAGTGTGTACACTATGAGGGGGAAGAGGCCTGTGTGTGAGACCAGGAGAGAAAGAGAGGACAGCTTACCCATGTTTACTGTCATCATCCGGAAGTGACCCTAGTGAACTAGAGCTGAACGCTCGACTCCTTTCATCAGGGAAAATCTCCACTCTGCAAACACAACATAAACAGAGTGAATTAGTAAATTAGAGACATCATTAACTTGAAATACTAACAAACAGACAAAAATGGTAATAATAGAGACCCAAAAACCCCTTACATGCCTCTGCCAATGCTGCAACATCACAGAGGATTTACATAACATTCATGGTTCAGTGTGTCTCCACCCAATTGCAAAATTTACAGAAAATGACTCTCAAGTTCAATGACAATGATGATGCTTGTTTTTTGTGCTATATAAAAATACCTTAAGAATAGAGTTCTCTTCTATTATGAGCATGTTTTTTTTCATTTCTGTAATAAAATTAAATAATTTTTTGTTTTTTTTTTTGATTTTTGTTTGTGGGGGGGGGGGGCAAGTTAAAATTACGGTTAAAACTGTTCTGATATTACAATGAAAAAATATAAAGAGAAAATGCCTCAAAAAAGTTATTAAAGTAGTATCGTTTTGCATAATATAGTAATATTTCTTCTATTCTTATTCTTATTATCTTAAATTATTATAGCTATTATTATTTTCAAATTACAACTATAATAATTTCTATTACATTATATTTTTCCAATATACACAGAAAAATATGTGATATGATGGACAGGACCTCTGCAAATATTACAAATATTATAATTTTATGTGTGTGTGTGTGTGTATATATATATATATATATATATATATATATATATATACACACATACTCACATATACATATACTGTACATACATATATTTTTATTATTATTTATTATAATTTAAGGTAAAATTATTTCATTATTTAAAATTATTTAAAATGTATTTTGAAAAAAATATATATGTGAACACATATGTATAAGGAAAAGATGTCTTTCCTTTTACTTTGTGGTTTTAAACCAAATTTTTAACAGTGGACATTCTTATCACTCTTATAAGTCATTGACCCAAGCATATCTGATCACTTGCCTCAATTATAAAAAAATAAAAAAAAAATAATAATCTTGGGACAATTTCACAGCACAATGGCATTTTTTTCCTGAAAAATAATTCAAAAAATTTTTTGATTATTTGTGATATGACCCCTTTAAATAAGACATTTGTCGCATTATGTCACACAATGCAGTTCTATTCCTAACGGTCCACTGTAAATAAATCATAACTGGCCATAGACAGTGTGTTCTATTCCTAACGGTCCACTGTAAATAAATCATAACTGGCCATAGACAGTGTGTCCGCCTGCCAACAGCAAACACAGCCATCATCTCCCAGTCTAATTTCATGTCATTCTTCAGATGAGAGAGGCACTCATGGTGTTGTCTTTGAAGACACAAAGTGCACTCTTGCCCTTGAGACATTGTTAAGCCACACTGGGCGTGATAAAAGTGGAGGGAACGCTAAAGGTAGCGACCACGGAGCTCTTCAAAGACGAGTCGGAGAGCTTTTAATGCCAGACAGCGAATCTGTCACCAGCAACCACAGGCTGATCTGAGAGCAGTTTTTCATATTCTGACACATGAAAGGCAAGACAATGAGGTCTATTTTTTGTCCATTTATAATTGTCAGCTTTACACAACAATATCGACGAGTCGCCCGGAGACACCGCAGAAAGAAGAGCAATTACGGTCATCAGCAAAGCGAGAAAAAGCCCTGAACTCAAGAGGGTCAAAGTACAAAGTGCCAGCGAAAAGGTTACGAACATTTGCACGGAAAATAGCTATACAAATTGAAGAAATCTGTGCCTGACTGTAAAAAAAAAAAAGCCAAATATCGCTATATTTTGCTCTTTTTGCCAAATGCTCTTTGCGGTGCTGCGGAGAGGCTGTTTCTCTCTTGATGGCTCTTGTAGTGATTATGTCAAATTACCTAGCTGGAAACGATGAGTCTTGAGTAAACAGCACTTTCTGCAGCTGATGGGATGTGATTTCAAAAGCAGCTGAAGTTAAAAAGGAGTTGACATGACAAGCTTTTGTCAAGGGTGTCATATAATATACGTTTAAAAACATCAAACTGTCTTAAATGATGATTTAGTCATCGTTACATGCTAATACAAGCATTTCCTTTTTATTTGGCAATGTCGGTCAATACAAAAAATAGTATAAAACATTAACAGTTTGATAAATTTCCATGAATCAGTTCAAACTGTCTATTAATCGATTCAAAACTCATTGATTCAATTATTAATTTTGCCTCACTACTAAAAAAAACATTCACTGAAGTGCCATTTAATATTATTAAATACTTATGTTTTAGTGAAGCATAGCTAAATATTGCCCTTTCTTACTACTATTTTATAACGGTACATAATTGAAGATCATTAAATATCATTCCTAATTATGTTCATTTATCCAAATGCATCAATGAGAGGAAAACATGCTGCTTGGTGCAGAGTTGTTACTGCTTTTCTAGGTTTCTATTACTTATTTTGCCTGGCTAGTGATAAAAAGTGAAAAAACACTTACAAAATCCTAGCCTCATGATGGCAAGTTCTGCCTTAAGATAGAACAACTCTCATTTACTTCAGAAAACAGCCGTTGTTCTGTGAACACATCTTTTTTTCTTTATTTTTTTATTTTTTTAATTTGCGACTGTCACATGTATTTATTGTAATAATGAAAAACTGATGCTGATGATGCTGCCAAAACAAGCAAAAAGACTGCAAACGGCTAAATAGCAGAGAAATGCAGGGTGAACTTGTGCCCTATAAGTTTAATTCCAGAAAGCCTCTGATAAAAGACTCTTTTAATAGTGCAAAAAAGAAAAGAGTTAATCGCTTCACAGACATTCTTTTAGGATGATACGCAGTTACCAGTTACTACTGGAGTTTGGCTCAGTGGGAATCTAAACTCAGACACACCTCCTCTCTCTGGTTTTTTTCTGTCTCTAAGCCTCATTCAATGCTCTTTATTTTTCCCTCTTTGTTTCTGAAGCTTGCATGGTCCCTGAGTTTCTGCAGAAACAGTCAGCGCAAAAAAACGTCCTGGGCTCCTGACAGAAACACAAAAGAGTTTGCTGTAAGTTTCCAGAGCTCAAGCCAAGGCGTATGCTTAGCGCACACTAGCAGGGCAGAGCAGCACACAGTGTACAGCACACAAAACACACAAGATCCAAAAGATCTCAGAGACCATTTGAGGAAGGATACTTGGTGGAAGAACACAAAAAACAACACTAATGCAAAAAGTGACACCGTTTGTGCACTTCATGACCCTATACATACTGAAAAAACTAAAAAACATACTATATGCATAAGACTTTTTTTAAAGGGGTCATTGGATGCCCATTTTCCACAAGTTGATATGATTCTTTAGGGTCTTGATGAAAAGTCTGTAACATAGTTTGGTTAAAATTTCTCAATGGTAGTGTAAAAAACACCTTTTTACCCTGTCAAAAACAGCTTTTTTCAGAGCAAGCCATTTTGTAGCATTTTCCTTTAAATGTTAATGAGCTATGCTGACCCCGCCCCTCTCTTCCGAGCTGCTCTCTGAGAGACTGTTTACTTTAGCCGCATTCATCGTGAAACTTGCTAATTAGCACATTATTAGGAAAGGCGATTTGCAAAGATTCATTAAAAAACCTTATACTCACTTCTTCTGTAGTGTTCATTATTACATCCAACAACAGAACACCTCAATCGCTTAGGAGTTATTCTTGTCTACATCTGCTCCAGTGGTGAAACAATGGCGGACTGATGACAGCTCACTCAGGGCGGGTCTAAGGTAAGACACCAGTCCAGTCTGTGCTGAAACGCTACTGTTAATCAAACTAGCGTGGGCGGGGCCTGTTTTTGTGACGTCACACAGACATGTCTCTGAGATCGGCTCGATTTGAGAAAGGGGTAAAGATTTTATTAGATTAAAAAAAACACTGGGTGGATTTTTATCATTATAGGGTGGTTGTATACACACACTGCCAACACACATTTATGTTCAAACAACTTGTAAAAGTGCATGTAGCATCCAATGACCCCTTTAAACAGTGGACAAAAGAAAATATCTGCCAATAAAATATTAGAGGTGCACATTTATTCTACACTATAAAAATTGTATAAGCCTACTATTTTCTCAAAATTAATAAAAATAAAACACTAATAAATCAACAAATAGGCATCACAACATTATAAATGTACAGAATGAAAGAGAGATTTGCTAAAGATTACACAACACTTTTCTATTAGTGTTTTTAAAGATTAACTTTAAGCGAACGCTAAGTGTAAAAATGGGAAAATGAGCATGCACAAATTAATATCCAATATGATACAGAAAGAATATTTTTATAAAATCTGTATTATGGGCTGAAATAAAGATCACGTTTCAATAAAACATTTTTTAAAAATACTATTGAATAATAAACAAACCAAGAATGTTTATATTTAATTTTATATATTTACATGTATACTATAAATTGTATTTTTTTTTATAAATTAAACGTATTATAATTTATATATTTAAATTTATATTTTACATGATAATGTACAATATGAAAAAAAGGATATTCATTTGAGATTGCATTTTTAAATTATTAGTGTTTTTTAGGTAGGCGTGGTTGACTCTTAACTTTTATAAAGAATATCTCTGTGGATTTGAGACTTTAGTCTTTGCAAATTTATAGATCTTCTTTATGCACCAAGAGCTTGTAACACTCCAAAGAGAAAGGAAAAATTGAAATCGCATCATATGACCCCTTTAACTTTAAATGAGCATTTAAAAAAATCTCTAATTTGAGCTGATTCTAATATTCAGAAAATATGCAAAAATATTACATTTCAATGAAATATTAAAAAAATTATCCAATGAATCATAAACATACCAAGAATGTGTATAAAAACAAAAGTTTTGATTTTGCATTGCCTTTAAGAACTACTGCTTGATAATCTAATGCATAAATGTCTTTATTAATGAAGATAATTAAATAATCAATTTAATTAAATAATCACTGTGCCAGCATCTGAAAGCATCCACTGTGTCTTCATTTCAATAGGAGCATTGCATTGTGGGCATCTCTTTAGATTTGAGGGATACTGTCACATC